TCAGTTTGGCTGTTTTCAGTGACAGTTTTTAGCACTGATGAAACTTGATTTAAAAGGACATGGATGTGTATTATCTGTCCATATAGGCTGCAATTGAAATGAAGGAATAGATTTTTCTATCAAATTCCTCTGGGGCTCAAACTAATACTCCATTTTCATTGCAGTATCAATTACTTTTATCTATATATGTCAGAAAACAATTTTAAAAACTGCTGCTTAGAATTGAACACAGATCAAAAAGAAAAAAATTCAAATAACCTGCTTTAGTTTACTTATCCAAAACACATCAACTTTCCTATCAAACTTGACAACAAAAAGTAGCAAATATTTTTTAAAATAGACTGTTGCATTTCTGGTTTAAAGAAATTGAAGCCATTTATTAATTAATCAATAATTGACTGCACACCTAACACAATCTAAATGGGTGACCTCTACAAAAATTATCCACCTCACAGTTGTTATACAATTTAAAAAATTAACTATAGTCTAGCCCAGGGGTCCCCAATCCCAGTCCACGAGGGCCGGTGTCCCTGCAGGTTTTAGATCTCACCCTGGGTCAACACACCTGAATCGCATGATTAGTTCATTACCAGGCCTCTGGAGAACTTCAAGACATGTTGAGAAGGTAATTTATCCATTTAAATCAACTGTAATGGATCAAAACCTGCAGGGACACTGGCCCTCGTGGACTGGGATTGAGGACTCCTGGTCTAGCCTGTAAACATGCAACATGTACACTAACAGTCACCATTGAAGTTGAACATTTTAACATGGCCATCTATAGAGGGACTGAACTGCATTTAAAGGCAGCCTCAAGTGCTATTATATTGGTTATAATCATGCTAATAACCCCTCTTTAAAAAGTTATTTTAATTTTTACTTCTTTACAAATTCTGTAAACCTTTAAACATAACTTTTGACTAAGCTTTGTCTGTCCCTTGTGATTTTCTTTGAAAGGTCAAATTCACATTTTACTTTTTAAGTTTGTGTGTGTGTGTGTGTGTGTGTGTGTGTGTGTGTGTGTGTGTGTGTGTGTGTGTGTGTGTGTGTGTGTGTGTGTGTGTGTGTGTGTGTGTGTGTATCTGAATCAAAGATAGGCTGCTGTTTGTGCTCAGATGGCCTCTAAACTTAATTACTTTCACTGTGAATGCACCAAAGAAATGGTTCTTACTGTGTGAGGTTTTACCTTAGGACATGGTTTATTGATTATTACTTCTCACTGTGTGTTCACAGATATGCACATTGTTGGACTTCAACAGATTGAAGTCATTATCATAGTGCCAAGGAAATAACACTGTTTGTGTGAGTCATTTGAGGTGTTGTTTTAGACTGCAGCACACTGTCTCAGTGTTGCTGTAACAAGCTGAGACTCTGCAGGCCTTTACGCTAAACACTGAGGAGAGAGCGATAAAGCCTGATAGAAATTCTTTTATTAATTTATTGGCCAAATCATATAAGATAGTATTTAATCATGATGCTCAGTGTATTGAAAGCAAAAATTATTATTTCTTTTTTTTTTTTTCAATCTAATTCAATTGTGGCATAAATTCAGAATAACATAACATTGTGTAAGTCATGGTACACAACGTAATCAGACTGTGTGTAAAAGAATAAAGTAGCCACTTTGATATAGCACAGTTAGTAAGCACTTGAGAAAAGTTGATCAACAACCTTTATTTATAGAGCACATTTATAGATCAATCCTCAAGGTTGCCATGCTTTAATGGCTGTTGGACTCTATTTAGGATCATAATTTACAAAATGAATTTTGTGCTTATTCAATTAGATAAAGATCTTATTGTTAAGAATATAGACTGACCAGAAAAGTGTTTGCTGTGTTCATAAACCCAGGGATTTTTCTTTCATAGACTTTTATATAGCATATTTCAATTAGAGGAGTCACCCCCGGCTGGTCATTGGGACAAATACAAATGGATTTAGGCACTTCAGTGTTATCTTTACTTTTCAGACCCAGGACTAATGTCACTCCTTGCTTTCACCACAGAATACTCTCTAGTTTAAATAATGTTAGGTCCCAGTCACACAGGCATAGAAACTGCTTGGCAATCGCCTGTGTTCCCCAACCAGTTCCAAGTGTTTGCTGGAGAATGCTTGCCATCAGTAAAATTGATCCCAACAAGATATATGCTGGCACACTGAAAACCTTGTTGTGATTGCTTTGGTTGCTAGCAGATTGCCATAATCAGCCATAGTTTGTATGAAAGACGCCAACTAGTCTACAGGTAATCATCAACCATTCATTAAATTACTGAAACTGAAGAATGTCACACAAACTGGAAATGTCAACTGTTTGTCTTCAAATTATATACAATTTGAAATCTTTTGGTTTCTTATTGTCTAACATGCTGTTCTCTGTTTCTGGCTTGCATTTGTGCTGGCTTGCCACCCAAGTGGGGAATACATATTTTTTTGCTAGTGACTATAGGTTGCCAGGGGTTCATCAAGGCCTCTTGGCCTGCATGACTGAGGACTTACCAAGATAGGTGCACCCATATCTGGTATATATTTCCCTTACTTCTGGGATCTGTCATGTGGTCCAACTGTATATACAATCTATTAACAAGCAAATGTCATGTATAGATACATTAATTAATAAGACATATGTCAGTACACACTGCTGCTCTTGTCTCATTCTCTTGTTTAATTTGAAACAAACCATTGCTCACACCTCACATCTTTTTCATATGCCTCCATTGATAGCAAACAGATCAATCCCAATAATCTCTAGATTAGTTATGAATCAGTAGGCTGCTTTTAAATTACTAAGGCAAAAATGTAGTGGGTCACATTTCTTCTCAGATTTTTTCTGTCAAAT